ATTGGGTCGACCTTTGCAGAAAAGCAGTTGCAGTGAAAATCAAAAGCTTTGAAGATGTCCGTTTTCCTACTGTAGATCCATTTCTAGGCATCTTCCTAAAGGAAAGATGGGGAATGCTGCAAAGATTTATATTTAAGCCTCCATTCATTCATTCATTCAATAAAACATGGTTACCTGCTCACAGAAACCACCTAAAAGTCCCAAACTAGGGGCGCTATTCAATACATGATTGCACATAAATTTGATGAATTGTTGTATAACCAGGAAATACTATTTTTCAAAGATTTCATAATGAGGGAAAATGTTTAAAACACATAAATGAAGGAAACAGGATAACTGATGTTTGATAGAATCTCCATCTGTTGATTTAAATGGACACATGCACTTACTCTCCCATGATGATCCTCGAAAACGTTTTGCTCAGTGAAAGGAGCCAGTCAGAAAAGCCCGTAGAGTGTACAATTCTATTTTTATGAAATGTCCAGAATGGGCAAATCCATAGAGACAGAAGGTAGATTAGTGGTTTCCAGGGGCTGGACTGGGGGGTGGGGGGTGACCGCTAATGGAACCGCTAATGGGGATTCTTTTGGGGGTGATGAAAATATCCTGAAATTAAATAGCTTTTCTTTCTGTTTTAATCCTGAAATTAAATGCACAACTCTGTGGATACACTAAAAAAACCACTGAACTGTACACTTCGGGAAGGTGAATTTTATGGTGTGTGAAGTATATTTCAATAAAGCTGTTATTAACAAATGTATACCTATGCAAGCGAAGAAAGAGTGGAAAGGAATACAGTAAAATATTGGATGGTATTGATAGTCTGGGGAGAGTTATGAATTTTCTTCTATACATTCTCCTGTATTTGAGTAATGGTGGGAAATTTTCAAAAAAACAAAGAAAAGGGACATATATGGCATGGGACAGAGCCTTCGCGGGGACTTTCTGTGAATCTCACCCCCTCCCAAGAAGGACTCCGTGGCAGTGAATTGAGATGTCTGCCCCAATTTTCCACGCTCCCCTCTGCCAGCAGACAGCACTGCCTGGTCCCCTTGGGCATTGGGTGAAACTATATGATGTGTTCTGGCCAATGATTTGTTCGTGAAGGTGACCAGTCAGCTCTGAGCCAGCCCATGTAATTGCCGGTGTGTGACACCCCCAGGGCTCTCTTTCTGCTGCAGCAGCCTTCAAATGTTCTACAAGGAGCTGCTCCGTCAGCCCGGGTCCTGCAGGGAGGCCGTCCAGAACCGTCCCCAGCAGACCTGAAATGGGCCTGTGATGTTGCTGAGATACAAGGCTTGATTGTTTTCAGCCACTGAGCTCTTGTTCGTTGCTGCTGTTGTCACAGCACAACATAGCAGGTACTGACCAATGTGCGTAAACAAGGAGAGCTGAGCTGTCGCTGCCACCAGCCCGCAGCTGCTGCCACAGTAAAATAATGCCGTGGCTACACACTGCACTGCTGGAGGGCACCCCAGCTCCTTTCCCACTTCAGATGGCTTTCTGTCTATTTCTGCATTCTCTTTAAAGCAAAGCTGAGAGATAGGAGAATCAGATATTTCCCTCATTTCACAGACAAGTCAAGGGGTTTGGCTGTGGTCTCAGACCCGCTTGTGGCATTTTCCAGGTCTTCTGAATCTCTGCCCAGTGTCCTGGCCACAGCAGACCCTCAGTCTGGTCCAAGAAGATCCAGTCACTGGACTAGGCCAAGCAATCAAAGAGCATAGTTTGTGCAGGAAGGTTTGTCCTTAAAATAAACCAGAGGGGAACACAATGCATAGCTATGGAGAATCTGGTAGAAATGGATCCAGAAAGACAACTACCCTCTTGCAGTTCTCCAAGGTAACCTTGACCTTGGGAAGTTAAGTGGGAACTAGAGATTAGGGGGAGTGAGTGAAAAAGAAGGTCCCAAAGTCTCCAAGTTGGAGAATTCTAAGTGGAGCTTTCTGTCTGCCTAGAAGGACAGAGCTCGGGATGTGAGACCAGCCATATGGGAGCATCCAGGGGAAGGACGGGGTGTTGGATGCACAGGATGGCTGTCCCAAGGGCCTCGTCCACCTGTCTCTAGAGCTCTCGTTCTTCATGTTCCAAAATGGAATGTCTTCTATTGTTTTTTTTTCTGATCACAAAAGTAATACTTACTGATAAAAAGCTCAAGTGATTATCTATCTATCTGATCTCCTATCCATCTATCTATCTACATTATGTACACAAATGAATCCCTCTATAAAACCCACCCATCCTTCCACTGTCCTAGACAACTAAGTCCACCCCGTCTGTGTCCGCAGCCTGCCACCTTGTTCCTATTGCACTGGGAAAAGAGAGGCTGTGGGAAGAGAGATTCCATATCTCCCACCTCCCTGCATCAGGCCCCTGCTCTTCCTCCCTTCCTGTGATCCTCTGCGGAGGAGCCTGTGTGCTCCCAGCCAAGGCCAGTCCTTCCTCCTGTGTCCTGGATTCCACCGGGCACCTGCTCGAGGACGCAGTGCCAACAACGCCTCCCTCCCTCTCCCGCATCCCCAGGGCTCCCGTCTCTGGGGTCTTCCACACAGCGTGCAAAAATTCTCTCCGGCCCTGATTCCCAGTCCTTACCCACCTGACCTGTCGGCAGCATCTGACACAGGTGCCCCCACCCCTATTCCCGGAAACACTGCCTTCCTGCATCATCAGGAACCTCCAACCTCTGGAGTGATCCCGCCCCATCTCTTCGTAGCTCTCTCTCATCCCTCTGCCTTCTCAGCCCTTGATCCACTCCCATTTTCTATCGATGCTCACCCCCGTTGGCTCTACCTTCAGGATAGATCTGGTGGCCCACCATCACCTCCCACCTGGGTTCCCTCATAGCTTCCTAACTGGCCCCTTGAGACTCTTCCGAACACAGCAGGGTGATCTTCTCAATCGTGTGTCTGATCACGTGGTTCTCCAGTGGGGTCCCATCTCTATCCTAGTTAAAGCCAAAGTCCTGTTGATGACCCACAAGGCCCACACGATCTGACCTCATTTTCTGCTGCCCCCGACCTGGCTCGCTCCTCTCCCTGAAGTCAGCAGGCGCACCCCACCTCAGGGCCTTTGCACTGGCTCTTCCTTCCGCCTGGAGTATCTCCTCCCAGGCTTCCCACAGCTCTCAGCTCATCCCTTCCAGGCCTTTACCTGGCCTGGCTGCCCTGTTTAAAATCTCCCATCTCCCTAACAGTCTTGACCCCTTTCCTCTTTTTTCTTTTCTTTCTGTTTTTTATTTTTAAGATTTTTCTGATGTGGACCATTTCTAAAGTCTTTATTTAATTTGTTGCAATATTGCTTTTATTTTATGTTTTGGTTTTATTGGGCACGAGGCATGTGGGACCTTAGCTCCCTGACCAGGGATCGAACCCGCACCCCCTGCATTGGAAGGCAAAGTCTTAACCACTGGACCGCCAGGGAAGTCCCCCTTGCTTTCTTTTCTTCACTCATCCTGAAACTAATTTGTAAGGCTGAGCCACGTAAAATTGTCCATGTTCAACCACTTTTGACCCCTACCATGTCAATTTCATACCACTCAGATTAATACGTATTTTACTTATTCACCTTTGCTTCCCGCCTTCTCCCGTTAGAATGCCAGCTTCTGAGGGAAGATAGTCTCATCTGCTGTGTTTTCTCCTGTACCAAGAACCACCTGGCACAGAGTAGGTGCCCAGCAAACATCTGTTGAATGATTCTTTCTCAGTGACCCGTTTCCTCCACTATCTCACGGTCATCTTTGCATGGCCGTTCGAACAGGTCTCCCTCACTTGTTCCAATGCCTGTCTGTACCTGGTAGATGCCACCTTTGAGTCCCTGAGAGCACTTTGAAATCACCAGATACACTCCCTCTCCCACCCCCGAGACGGCTCTGCAGGCAGCAGGCACCGCTTCAGACAGATCCAGATTGAAACCACCGGTCAGTCAGTGTGACCGGCTTAACTTCTTTGCTGTTCAGAGTCCCCACCTGTAAGACAGGGAAAATGCCGCCTTCTCACCCCGGGAGGATTTGGGGAATGCGAGTGAAGTGCTGGTGTAGTGTGTGCTGAATCAACCCCTTGTATCCCTGCTTGTAAAGATTTAGAGCAGCTATCGGTTAAAATTTATATATATTTCCAGAAACACTTGCTTAAAGGTTTGTCTCCAGCTTCCTTTCAGACCTTTCCAGGAATCAGTCACCCCAGACCACCCACAGCTGGTCACACAATGGACACTCCGGTCTCGCCCTGAGATTGTCACAGCTTTGTCCCACCTCCTCCCGCCCCAAGACACACTTTTAAAAAAATATTTTGTTCTCCTTCTCCACCCCCATCACAGTCGCTTGGCTTCTGTGTGTGACCCCTCTCCTTACCACCGCCCACCAGGATGCCATCAGGAGGCTTTCTAAAATATAGGTAAAGTAGGAGATTCTCAGTTTATACCTGGAGATTCTCCACACTCCCAGGCCTCACGTGGGAATTTATCAGTTAGCTACAGCTGCCTGCCAAAACACAGGGCTTAAAACAGTGAGTTGTATTTGTACGCGTCTGTGGGTTAGTTGGGTTTTTCTCATCTGGGCCAAGCGCTTCTGACCTCAGCTGGACTCACGCATGGGTCTGAGGTCAGCTGATGGGCGGGCTGGTCCAGGAAGGCCTCACCTGCACGTCTGGAGGTTGGCTGGCCGTGGGCAAAGGCAGTGGCCACGTGTCTCTTGTCCTCCAGTGAGCGAACCCAGGCTCGTTTGCGTGGTGGTCACAGGGGGTTCACACCTGTCACGGTGTCACCTCTGCCATGTGCCTTTGGCCAAAGCAAGTCACAGGGGCAGTCCAGTTGCAGCAGGAAGGGAGATGGACTCTTGACAGGCGGAGCTGCAGAGCCTTTGTGAAGGGTGTGGGTACCAGGAGGAGAGGAGGGTTGTGGGTATTTTTCACATGATTCAGCGTCTTTCTTAGGGGTGCGAGCAGGGCCCACTATCCTGGGTTATCGGCCCAGACGTGTCCCACTGCTGAGAGCACTAGCCTTCCTCAAGACAGAGGCTTTGAAATGGGGCCAGCTAGCTGCTCACATTCAGCCTCCGTCTGGGGGAGACGGTAGGGGAGGGGGAGCCTCGCACTCGGCAGCCCACAGCCCCACCCCTTACCTCTCCTACAGGGTCCTCAGCTCACTCTCTCTGGGCCAGTTGGGCTTGTCTTTCCCCTCGTAGCTCCTTCTCTCCCCACCTCCCAGTCCCCCTGCTTCCTCCCCTCCCTCTTCTCCATCCTCAGCTCACTCAACCCTGACCTCCCCTTTTAACACCTCCTCCTAGCAGCCTTCCCTGGCCACACTCATCCATACCCACCTCCCCTTTCTTTCAATAACGATACCCAGTCAGTGCTGCACATTTTAAAACTTAGGTTTTTAGAGCTACCACACATGAAGCTCTTACCAGGTGCAGGAATTTTAGTCTTCTGGACGCTTGAGTAGATACTGTTATTATCACCATTTTACAGCTGGGAAGCTGGGCTGAGAGGTTGACTTTCCAAAGGTCTTAGAACTAGTGGTGAGGGGTGGATTCTGTTCTCAAAGCCAGGGCTACTCCAGACCCCGCCTGTGGCAGAGCTGTCAGTGTCCTGCCCTGCCGTGTGCCCTGCCATCACTGCCTGGGTGCACGCGGCTGGCCGACACCTGGCTGACCATGCCTGCCCTTCGGGGCCTGAACACCTTCTCAGTGGGGTTCATTTTCACCACGCGGCTGGCTTGGGAGCTGAGTGATTAACTCCCCGGGAGAGTAGTCCTCAACAAACGACAGAGAAGGTGTGAGAGACACCCCAGGGTGGGGTGAATTAACACGTGTCTACACTGACTCCTGAGTCCCCAGCAGGGTTGAGGTCAGCTGCCCACAGTGATGAAGCGTGACCCGCACCTGACACAGAGACTCCTTTACTGGCTGTTTGCCCCCTGGCCACAACCCCTACCCCCACCTGCACCTCCCCCACCACCTCTGAGCTGTTCTGCCCTCCCCTCTCCCATCACTTCTGGGCTGTAAGCTCCTTGAAACCACAGAAACTCATATTTATTTCCCTTGCTTTTCCCACAGTGTCTAACCATGCTCAGAACCTTAGACACTCCATAAATACTCATTGAAATCATGTATTGAGTCATGGATGCCCCCAAACTACAGATATTGGGCCAAGAGTCAGTGTCAACCCCTCTTCCTCACAGACGTTTCAGCTCCTGAGCTCTCCTGATGACATATACTGGACATGTACCATGAGAGAGAAATCAACCTTGTTTGGCTAAATCACTGAGATTTGGGGGTTTGTTTGTTATAGCAGCATTCTGTGGCCTATTCTGACTGATCCAGTGATCCAACTCGACGAACAAAGAGATGTATCAAAATAAAGAATTCAGGAATGACAAAGCTATGATTTTTAAAATAATGATACAAAGATTAATAAGCTCTTAAATATACAACTAAAACTAAATAACTGCAGGGGGTATGCTTATGGGAAGAACACATACGCTATCTAAACCTTCACAAATTAAAAGTAACAATAAAACCAACTAAAAAATGAGAGGGAAGAAGTAAAAGTGTTAATTTCTTTTTACTTTTATTTCTTTCTTTGGTAGGAGTTTACACCATCAAATATTGAAAAACAAAGTTTAAAATAAACCTAATGATACTAACTTCTCTCTTACTGTTTTCTCCACATTATTCTTTAAACTCAGAAGAAATTGATTCAGAAATTACTCTATCTAGTGATAAAGAAAAAAATTCAGTGAAGTTCAGCAATTCTTTCAGTTCAGTTCCACTTTTTTCTTCTGTTAAAATTAAATCTTAACACTGTTGTCTTAGGTTAGGTTCTTCTGGAAGCAGACTCTAAAATTTGAGTATTTCATTGTGTATAGAGGGTGGTCCCAGGAAGCTCTGGTAGGGGAGTGGGAAATCAAGGCAGAGAGAGGAAGGAAGCAAGGCTGGGTGTTACAGAGCAGGGGCCACTCTTTATGGGGAGCTCAGCTTAGCTCCAGTGGAGAGTGGGGAAAACTGCCTCAGAGCTGTCCCACCCACAGGGAGAGGACCTGGGGCATTTGGCCATCAACTTCCACCCATGATTAAACGCTCACCTGCGTGTTAACTCCCAGGCACTTCTTCCCTGCCCTGTGCGTGGGCTGACCCCACTCCTGCAGCCAGAGAACCCCTCAGGCTGAGGGGATTCAGGTGCTTTTGAGTGAAGTAACGGACTCTCCTAGAACAGTGAATGCCACCAGGATATGGGCTGGACACCAACAACACCTGCTATGTTTCTTAAGTTTAAGAAGCCTGTATCATGGATTCATCCCAACTGAATTATACCAAGTAAAAGAAGACAATGTACCTCAGAGAGCGACATGTTGTGTGATTCCATTTATACAGTTTTCTGGAAAAGTCCAAAGTCTAAGGACAGAAAACAGACCCTTGGTTGCCAAGGGCTGGGGAGGAGTGAGGGATGACTACAGGGGGGCTCCAGGGTACTTGCTGGGGTGACAAAATGCTGTTTATCTCCATGATGGTGGCGGTTACAGGACAATGCATTTGTCAAAGTTCATAGAACTATGCACCTAAAAAGGGCAAGTTTTACCATATGTAAATTATACCTCAAAAATCTGTCTGTGATGCTCTTAAGAATGTTTGCATACTATTTGCTATTTCAAGAAAGTTTAATTCTCCCTTGAGGATGTAGGCACTTAGTTCTAAAACTAGAACAAGGCAGAAGTGATGTTGTGTGAATCAGAGTCTAGGTCATGAAAGACTGCAGCTTCCTGCTCTCTTATTCCCTCCTGGGTCACCTGCTCAGGGGGCAGCTAGATGTCAGGTCATTACAGCCCGAGGGAGGCCCACTCGGAGACCAGCTGTGGCCTTGGGCCACCAGTCATGTGAGGAGCCTTCTTGGAAGTGGGTCCCCTAGCCCCCACCAACCTGCTCCCCGGCCCATAGTTTGTAACCTCACAGGGGACCCTGAGACAGACCCACCCAGCTAAGCATCTCTCAGTTCCTGTCCCTCAGAAACTGAGCGAGACAAAATGATTGTATGCGTGAAGAAGCTACGTTTTGGGTTCATTTGTTATGCAATAGATAACTGCTATGCTGACTTAAAATTTAATTCCCATTTTTAAATAAAATTATCCATTCCTTTAGATAAATTTATGCTAAAGAGACAGTTGGCATGATATTGGTTAATAAGGTGAATGATGGTCGTTTCTGGGTGGTAGAACCTGGGGGTCATTTTTCTTGTGTTTGTCCTTCTTTACATTCTTGAACTACTTTTTATAACAAATGTGTGTCAATAAAGTGGAAAAGAAATATAACGACTTGGAGCCCAGAGTCAGTGCAGAGGTATCATTTCCTAGCGGCAGTGCGGGGGGAAGGTCTACAGGAAGCAGGAGCACCTCATACTCAGTGGCACCACAGCAGCAAATGAGCCACTTCTGAAACTCGGCTTCGTTCTTGTACATCAGAAGGAACTGTCCCAGCAGGATGTAGGCCTGCGCGGAGGAACACGGGAAACGTACTCAGCTGTGCTTCTCTTCCCCTGGAAAATCAAAGGAGGGGGCACGGGTCAGATTCAAGGGAGAAGGGCTGTCCCTGAAACCCTGACCCTGGCGAAGCAGATTCGGACACTGGCCTGGGTGAGATGTGAGGTCAAGTTAAATGTCCATCTCTACAGGTGGCTTTGGGGGCCGTGTAGCCTGGAAGGAACCTGAACATGTCCTTGAGATCTTGTTAAAAAGGCAGGATCTGACTCAGTAAGTCTGGGGTGAGGCCTGAAACTCTGCATTTCTAATGCTGGTCCCGGAACAATATTTGGAGTAGCGACAGCCTCGTGTACCTCTGATGCTCCCTTCAGGCCTCGGATCTAATATTTGTTTCTTTGAAACGCACACAGGAATTAGAGGTGCCCCCCACCCTGCCACTTTCTCAATGGTTCAAGCACAGGGTTTCTAACCCTTGACACTGTTGCATTTGGGATAATTCTGTGTTCAGGTGCATTGTTGGAAGTTTAGCAGCATCCCTGGCCTGTACCCACTAGATGCCAGCAGTACACCCCCTACCTTGAATTGTGACAATCGTGACCATCTCCAGACATAGCCAGGTGTCCCCCAGGGGACAGAATCTCCCACAACTGAGAACCACTGCACCTGGGACTGGCAGGTGAAGGGCACCTTAGTATCAGTTTGTTTTTGCAAACCCGCCTTGTGACTCCAGGCAACTCACCTAACCTGAAGTGAGAACCTGCAGAGCCTGGGGTTCAGTTTCTGCATCTTCTGAAGGCCCTTCATCTGCCCCACCCCACCCTGCAAATTGGATTAAGTGAATTCAGTGTGAGACCGGTGGAGAAATGCAAATTCCTTTTTTGTCCTGGAAGACTTCAGCCCTGTGGGAGGAGCAGACAAGGTATCAAGCACACTGAACCTTGCCCCTTTTCCCCTTCTGAAGGGTCTCTGTGGATGAAAAACACATGTAAAGATTAAGTGCCCGCAAGTCAAAGTTGTATGGTGTTCTCTGGTTTTCTGAGTCCTGGTCCCACAGCTTTTCATTTCTCTCGTGCTGTTTCATCACTGATAGTCATGAGGGGCAAGGGCCACAGGGAGAAAGAGACATCCAAGGCCACAGACTGGCCGGGACATGAATGGGGCACGTTCAGTGCCCGGCTCTCCGGTCTGGAATGAATGGGAACCAGTGTCCAGGCCTTGAGTCCTGGGCCCCCTCCAGGAAAACCCACTGGCGTCTATGTATTTCACTTACATAAAACCAAGCAAACTTCATCTTAACCAAAATGAACGCATTTCTTAAAAGACAAATTAAATAAAAGCTGAATTCCAGTCATAAAATATACCCAAGCATTGGAGTTTGGGTTTTTAAAAAAATTTTTAGTCCAGATCCAGTTGTTGAAAAGAGACAAAAGCTAGGATTTCATGGTCATTTTAAATTGCTACTTTAATCATCTTTTTGAAAAAGCGGTGTAATTGATTAGAATGAGCTCATTTTACTTTGTCAGCATCCTCGTCTTTTCAGGGGTGATTTTACTGAGTTTTTTTTTTTAATTAATTAATTTATTTATTTGCTTATTTTTGGCTGCGCTGGGTCTTCGTTGCTGCACGCGGGCTTCCTCTAGTTATAGCGAGTTGGGGCTACTCTTCGTTGCATCGCACGGGCTTCTCATTGCAGTGGCTTATCTTGTTGTGGAGCATGGGCTGTAGGCGCGCAAGCTTCAGTAGTTGTGGAATGTGGGCTCAGTAGTTGTGGCTCGCGGGCTCTAGAGTGCGGGCTCAGTAGTTGTGGCATATGGGCGCATTTGCTCCGCGACATGTGGGATCATCCCGGACCAGGGCTCGAACCCATCTCCCCTGCATTGGCAGGCAGATTCTTAACCACTGCGCCACCAGGGAAGTCCCTGAGATGTTTTTTAATTCAACATTTTAAAAATGAACATTTACTGAATGTTGATTGAGCCCGTTGCAGCAGTAGGTATGGGAGGTGCAGAGCTTTGTCCCAGGAGAGAGAACATTGATGATAATAGTAGCAAGTGATGCTTTTGAGCACCAAGGGCAGGCTCAGACCCCTGATACGTTTTCCTGCTTTGGATCCTGACATGCGCCCCATCCATTCTCCAGATGGGTCATGGAGAACCCTGAAGGTAAGACTCCTGTCCTCGGCCCCATTCCAGTACACCCCACCCATCTGTGGCCTGGCCTGGCACCTCTGCCCTCCTGAGGCCTGATGTCAGCTGTTCTGGTAACCAGAGCTTCCATGTCCCTCCACGCCCAGCAGCCAGGATGCCAGGGACCTCGTGGCTCGCAGGACCAGAGGCAAACTTTCCAGGAAAGCCACAGGCAAGAGGGCCTCATCTTTTGGCCTCCAGACCCAAGTGGCAACTTGATGCTCCCTTCTGCCCTTTCTCTTGGGAAGTCGGCCTGCTTCTCCCTGCTCCCCAGGGAAGCAGGAGTCGTAGGCTCCCATCATGGCCCTGATGGAAGGAAGCCCTCTGGGTTTCTCTGCGGGCTCTAGAGAGCGAGCCCCTAACCTGGGGGAAGAGGAGCCACCCTCTGCCTCCTTGGACCGAAGCTCAGAAAAACCTGGCTGCAGGGAGAGTGATGCAGATACCCTGACAGACGTCCCCACCTCCCGCCACCCAGGCCAGGGATGCTCATTCCTTCCCGAGGCAGCCTTTGCCTGTGTGGCAGGATGGCAGCTCGAGGGAAGACTTCCGTCAACGCCACATCCCAATCGTGAGCAGGTCTGGACCAGTCTCCAGTGTGCCTTGCCTGCTCCTTGCGAAACAGTAGCGATATTTGAGTCCGGGGTTCCTGGTGAGTGACCTATGCCGTCACACAGGCCCTGAGCTCAGAGCCCCACTTGGTTTGCTGGTGTGCTGCCACCATCTTGAAATTCCTGATGAATTTCAACAAGGGGCCGCCCATCTTCATCTTGCACTGGGCCCGCAGATTAGGTCCTGGTCCACGCTCATTAAAAATTTCAGGGACTTCCCTGGCGGTCCAGTGGTTATGACTTCGTGCTTCCACTGCAGGCTGCGCAGGTTCGATCCCTGGTCAGGGAACCAAGATCCCCCGTGGAGCGGACCCCCCCCAAAATTTCCATCTCCACTATGACACCTGACCTTTCAAACAGAGACACGTAGTCTCAGCCCCTCACTGTCAAGCTCCCCCACTGCCAGTTCGCAGCCCCTCAGCGCCCGTGGCGAATGGACTTTACAGCACCACCAGGCTTTGTTGCGTGATGAACAGCTTTCTTTTTCTCTAACTGGACGCTGACTCTTCAGTCTTCAGGGCCACTGAGTGCCAAAGACAACCTCGCAAATCCAGCCTCTGTCAGTGTTTCCAGTGTAAAACTCCTTGTCTGAAGCATGAATGTTCAACCCACTGTGCTTTCTTCCCCCTGCCTGTCTCCCTAGGACACACTTACACTAAGACATTGTTTAACTGAAACTCAGATTTAATTTGAGCGTGCTGTATTTTACCTGGCAACCCTGCATAGGGTAACCCCAAGCTTCTGTGACTGAATCCTTGTAGGGTCCGGGCATCAGGCAGGGATGGGTGTGTGTGGGGGGGTCCCTTGCCCTACTGCCCACCCCAGAGCCTGTCTGCCAGATTCAGATCTTGTCTCTCTAACCTTGAGTGAGGCACTTGGCTGCTTTGTGCCTGTTTTCTCATCGGTGAAATAGAGACGAAATAGTATACTTTATGGGATCTTTTGGTAATTAAATGAAATAAGTGTATGTAATGCACTCGGATCAGTGCCTGACATGGAGCAAACATCAGGTGCTGGTTCTGTTAGGTGAGAGAGGCTCGGGGAGCAGGTGGGCATCCAGGACATTTGCTGCTCCCTCATCTTCCAAGTGTGTTTCAGAAGGAGGATTTAGGCTCATGGTTATGACTTCGTAGGGTGTTCAAAGGGTACTGAGGCAAACCAGATTCTGTGGGATGTGAAACTTACTTCCACGCTGTTGGAGTCACCCCATAGGGCACTGCCCATGACTCTGAATCTACTGAGCGCCTGGAAATTCACCCCCCTCCATTGGGTTTTCCTAGGGAGAGGAGGAGTACAAGAAACCCAGAACAATCCTTTCTTCAGAGAAGATACGGGAGGACACCAAAGGGAGCTGTGCCTCTAACAGAACGCGTGGAAAAAACAATCAATAGTTTGGATGTGACAGCAAGGGGTCCACTGGGTACTCAGCGTTTAGAAACAGCGGCATGTCCGGCCAGGGTGGGTGGGTGGAAGGAGGGCTTGCTTCCGGAGGGGGTGGGCCATGAGTGGGCCCATGAAGGAGACAAAAGTTCATTTTAAGAGGGGCCTTGGGTCCGCGGGAGGGTGGTCCCCATGTGCTTGTGGTTCATGAACAGTCTGGTGGAGCATGGGGGTGAGGGTGGGGGGACAGAATAATATAAGGCGGAGCTAGACCCGGCGCGGACACCTTGAGCACGATGTATTTTCCCTCTTCTGGTCATTCCTTTCACCTTTGCAGCCCTTTCGCCCTTAAATCTAGACCAATGCTGTCCAGTAGAAATCTAATGTGGGCCAGCACACGTGTAATTTTTAATTTTCTAGAAGCCACGGCAAAAGGGGGAAAGAACAGGTGAAATGAATTCTAATAATTTTTATTTTTTCCCATATTTCTAAATGATTATCATTCCAACATGTAATCAATTAAAAAATTATTGATGAGATGCTTTCCATTTTTTGTTTGTTTGTTTGGCACTGAGTCTTTAACGCGGCCATGTGTATTTTATGTTTATAGCACAACTCAATTCAGACGGTACTCAACAGGTACAAGTGGCCCACGGCCGCCGTGCTGGACGGCCAAGATGTAGATCATCAGGCCGAAGCTGTCAGCCCCAGGGAAGGGCAGGCACGAAAAAACCCAGAGAAAACGCAGCCACATTCTTGACTTTTGAGACTTGGGTGAATCCATAGTTTTGAAAGTCAGGACTGCAACTGAGCCAGAGAACTGTTCAAGCCACAGACAAAGCTCTGGGAAAGTGCAGAGAGATATAGGGGCAACCCCGCCGAGCACTTCATGCCTCTGTAGAAGAAGAAATGAAAGTTTGACTTGTGTGGGGCAGGCATCGAGGAGAAATTACTTGATTTAGAGGCTGGTGGGAGCTTGAGAAGGTGTCTCCATGCCTGGCCCTATCCAGGGCCACAGCCCTGGAGGGATGATCGACACACCCAGATGCACCCTGGGCTCCCAGGGTGGGGCTGGTGTCCCATCTCCTGGTTCCAGCATCTGGTGTCTCGGGAGCGGTGTGAGGGGCCCAGGCAGGCAGGGCTGAGGGCAGCCTCACACATCTGCATCCCAGCAGGTCCTCGGAAAGGCCCAGCATCCATGGGACAGGCCAAGGAAGCCACTATGAGCAGGGGTGGAGCCTGAGGGGATCTCTGCTCACAGCCAAGAAACCCCAGGGACCCCCAGCCTGAAGAGGGGCCCGCCATGCCCAGGCCTCCTGCAGGCAGGGTGTGAAAACCCAGGAGCTCAGAGGATTGTGGGGCAGAGAAGTGATCTGTAGGACACCACCATGGTGGATACCTGTCATCACTCGTTTGTCCAAACCCACAGGATGCGCTACACCAAGCGTGAGCCCTAATGTCAACTTTGGGCCTCGGGGATATAAGGTGTCAGTGTAGGTTCTCCCGTAAGAAACCTACCACTCCGGTGGGGATGCTGATAATGTGGAGGCTGTGTACCGGGGCAGGGGTATAGGGGACCTCTCAGCACTTTCTTCTCAGTTTTGCTGTAAACCTAAAACTGCTCTAAAAAATAAAGCCTATGGAAAGCACAACAGGAACCTGCGTATTTTTTGCTACATCTGAGCCGGCCGCCCTGCCGGGATCTGCCTGCCTCTTACTGCTGGCCCCGCCCACGGCCCCGCCCCCCCCAGAAGCGCCTGCTCATCTTGTGCGACACTGGGGTCTCCTCCTGGATCCTCGTATAGGCCCAGCCAGGCTCCAGCACTCGATTCAGGAACTCATCACCAAATCTCAGTGTAAACCGCCCCCCCCCCCCCGCCTCGCGCCAGGGTGGCCTCCTGGCCCTGATATTCTCGGGTGGTTTGTGACCATATAATCCATGGCTGTTCTTGTCCTCACTCAGGACCTTGATCAAGGCACTCACTTTCCAGAGCCTCTGTCTCCTCGTTTGTCAAGTGAAGACAGCGACCTCTCATCTCATTCGCAGGTGGGTGAGGGGCTCAAAGCAGAGGAAGAAGGTGAACCCCTGGCATCAGTGCCTGGAATTAGTGGCCCTTGGAATGAGTAGAGCCTAAAAGGAGAGGGCTGGTCACAGCTAGCCAGGAGGTGGGAAACACAGAGGAGCAGATCTCCAGGGACCTGGCCAGTTCCTCCTTCCCTATAGCCCTGACTCTTGTGTAGCAAGTTCTCGGTTGCCTGAAAATTTCCCATTATTCATTCATTCCTTTATCTTTAATATGCCTCTCATCCTACCTAGAGTCACTTGAAACAAGTTGGAAAAAGCAAAACTATAGGGACAGAAAACAAATCAGTAGTTGCCAGGGGCTGAAGGTGGGAAATGTGACGGGCAAGGGGAACATTTTGGCACGATGGTGTTGTTCTAGGCCTTGATTGTGGTAGTGGCTACGTGACTACATGCATTTGTCAAAACTTGCAGAACTGTGTACTAAAAAAAGGTGAAATTTACTGTATGTAGATTAAAATATTTTTTGAATGATGAGTATGGCTGAACAACAACAAAACCTCACAACTATGGAGACATTAAACCAATGGTGGTAGAAGCCAGAATGGCGGTGACTTCTGGGAGTGGGGGGGTGGAGTTGACTGGCAAGAGACACAGGGGAAGCTTCTGGAATTCTCGAGGATCCTGATCACCGGATCCGGGTGGTGGGTCTATGCATGTATATCTATGTAAAAACGCACTGAGTTGAACCCATCACATCAGTGTGGATATGTTACACCACAATAGAAAAGTAAAAGGGACGATCATTTCTTCTAAAAAATAATTTTTAATTTAAAATGTCTTCCCTAATCAGACTTGCCTGTTCTACTCTCTGCTTGGGAATGGTCCTCTCTGCTTTATCTGGGAGGAAAGAAGCAAATCTACCTCAATCTGTCTTCCTGACAATCCCACCTATTGGGTATTAGATTGTGGTAGATTCGGGTGATATTCAGAATGTTTAACAAGTGGTGCAGGGCAGCGTGTCAATCAGAAAACCACAGGCCCAGTCGTCCAGCTGCCCCCTGGACACAGCCGTGCGCTGGGCCGATGCAAACCAATCTCACCGTCAGCTGCGCACTCAGCGGTTCCCCGCCTCCCTGGGCGTCTCTGCAGCCTCTTCCCGCCCAGCGGTGAGGGCTGACTTTAAAGCCGAAGGGAACGAGCTGCAGTACCTCTGCCGGAGGTGCCTCTCTCGACCGAGTGTGCAATGCTCCTGTGAATTCCCACCCGCTCACTTTCTCTGGGTTCTCTTTGGGAATATCTCCCATCCTCTCCTAAGCTTCATGCAGCCTTATATAATAGCACCATAGAAACAGTTGCCTAGAAGAGATCGTTCCGATTCCATTGGCCATCATTGAGGCTGTTCTCGGACTGCTAGTGACATCTTAGAATAACTCACTTCCTCGTACTCTGGTGTAGACACCAGGCTGCTATGACTCCACCTGCCATGGCCTGATAGGACAAGAGACCCTCATGTCTTTTCATGGGGGTGGGGAGTGCACCCAAATCATCCATCCTGACAGCTCGGCCCCAGACTCGGGCGGCCAGCTCACTTCTGTCGACCCCTGGGTGTTTGAACACCAAGTGAGTCATGCACAGCCCAGCTGCTCTGAGCCACAGTGATTCGATTTGCCCATTATCTGTGGACCCTGGCGGCTGCCCAAGCATGCGGGGTCAGTAGCCTCCAGCCAAGCATGTGGCACCCGGCCAAGTGGCAGCTTTGCTCTCCGACAGCCACTGGCAGGGACACGTGGCACTGGCTGCCATCTGGCAGGATTAGGGGAATACAGGTTGAAAGAGAAGTTGGAGAAACAAGAAAGGAGGAATTACCTTGTTGAAACCTTTGGTGCACAGATTGATTGCAAGCTCACGGCTGACCCCATCTACCCAGGCAACATCCTTTTCTCCAATGGGTTCAGAAAGGAAGGTTCTCAGCCTGGGAGACATGTGGTCCATGTTCTGCAACAGCCATGGGGAGGGAGATGGTTAGGGAACTCCCTCGGCCTTCCCAGGGCGGGGGGCTGGGGCCAACAGACGGTGAGTATCCTGCCACCGCCCAACGTTTATTGGGGACTTTTAGATGCCAGGTGCAACGCCCTGCTCTGAAACCTTTACATACGCATCCCCACCTGCACGGGTTAGGTGGGGACGTTAGTGATGGTCTCAGATGAGCCCAAAAAATCCCCATGAAAAGGGTGGGATTGATGCTAAGTGCTCTGATGGGTTCCTTGCCAACCTTCCCACCCTAAATGCTTAAAGAAACAGCCTGCTTCTCTTAGCCAGTGAATCTACCTTCTCCAGTGTTTTTTTCATATTTTTATTTTAGCTTTTATCTCATTCTGTAATAGCTGGTTGTTTGGTTGCAAGAACAGAAAACTCTAACTGGCTCAAATATTAAAGAAGACATGATATAAGTCAGGAGCCCAAGATTGAGGGTGGGTCTGGTACCATCAGGGTTGCAGATCCTTTCCTCTAATTCTTTCAACTTTTCTTCCCTGTGTTGGTTTCGGTGGGGGCTGGTTCCCCTCATGGTGATGAAATGGCTGCTCCAGCACTCATGCCGCACCCCCGCAAATCTCAACCCCAAAAGAAGAAGTTTCTAAAGAGAGAGAAACTGTTTCTGAGGAGTTCCAAGCAGAGCCTCATCCAGCCGTATGTCCAGTCCTGGATCTGGGAGTGGAGTCAGCTTTCTCTAAGCTGTACAAGCTGTGAGTCCAAGTACAGTTACCTGCACAAAATCAGGATGATTATCCAGAGAAGGGTAGGTGGGTGTGAAGGCAGTAACCATAACGTCCCACTATGGTCCACCCCTTTGATGAACTAACATTGGTACAATCTCCTTCCCTTATGTAACCATCAGAAATACCCACAGGTGGCTGAAATAGACTCACCCCTCCCCCAAAGGGCGGAGCTCTATGATTCATCCAGTTACTGGATTCAGACTCGGGTTCATATTTTCTGTGAGAGGCATCATACTCCCCATCATGTCTGGAAGTTGCTACTCAAGGGATGGTAACCTATGAACTAAATTCTGCAGTTCGTCATCATCAACATAGCCAGCAACGATGGGAAAAACCAGGATATCTGCAGTAAGAATTTCCAGAAGGGAAATTCTCCATTTGGAGAAGGAGAAGGTGGGAAACACACTCAGTTGCCATTGGTCGATAGCACATACGGTATTGAGGAAATATTGGGGATTCCTTGCCCTTGTGGTAAAGCCAGCTCCTCCAGCAGACAAGATGCTGGCCCCCAGTTCTGGGTTTGGGTGGGTCCCCATCCACTGCCTTGTTAACACCTGAGGGGCTTGGTGTTGATGCCTCCCAAGAAGATTCACTGTTGTAGCACCCCACTTCTTGTGGGCACGAGCTCAGGGATCTCCCTGAGGGATGGGCAATCTCAGGCCACTACTTGGCCAGTTTCCTTGGCATCTCAGCCCCCTTCAGAATTTACTGGGTTTCTTCCGTTCAAGTCCATGGGCTGGTGGTTGAGTGGAGATCTTCACAGGTCTGTATCCTTGATCTGTGCCCTGCCTGCTGCCCTGCTCCTCGGACTGGGGACATCTAACTGCATCTCCGAGGTGGGGAGGTGCCCCAGGTCTGCTCCTTGCCCACTGCATCCCAGCTGCATCTTCACAGTAAGGCAATTGTCCCCTTTATCAAGCGTGACATCCTTCAGACAAGAGGCTCGGGAGACACCTGGGAACTGGGGCAATGTTCTTCCGGGGCCCTAATCCTTTCTCTTGTTAAGTCACCTGACTGGTCGCCTGTGTTCTAAATTCAGCCCGAAAAGTCAGCTTTTCCAACCCAGCAGGACTTGCTCAAGCCACAGGCAGAAACGCCGTCTCTTAGCAAAGCTGTATTTTCACCCCTCTCACCCCGCCAATGGGCCACCTTCCCCCTGGATGTGAGTCTCCTAGGGCCTTAATGAGGACGCAGAGGTGCACAGCGTCCCGAATATCCCGTCAGATCTCCAGATGTCGAGTCTCCATACACATAAGGTCTGTGTCCCCGGGTGAAGCGGGCCCACCAGAACCAGCCATTTCCCTACACGAGGGTCACTGTCCTCGTCGTTTGTGTGAAGACACCCTCACTCCTCTCTGCCTGTCCCCACTGGAGGTTTGCTCCTTAGTTTATGATGCAAGCAACAGAAAATCCGGTTCCAGCTGGCTTACACTTAACGGAGGTTTACTAGCATGTGCCACCTAAATGTCCCGAGGTGCATCACATGTGGTCTGATCAAGGCTCCCGCTTGATTTCCCTGTGACTCTCGACTCTGCCTCCCTTTGTTCATTGGCTCAACCCTCAGCTCCACTCCTATTTGGAAATAATCGGGCTGCAGCAGGGCCTGCAAGCCACGCCCCCTCCCCCCAAGGAAAACACTGCTTTTCCTCCAGAAGCTGTGAATGTGTGCCTTCTCCAGTCAAATCATCGTACGCCAGGCCTAAGACGTTGACTACGGCCTGATACATGTGTCTTCCCTCTGGTTCAGAAAGCAGGTTAGTGACCTGCAAAGCACACAGGCTGCAGGGGCAGGGATGGGACACAAAATCAGGGTAGTCGCCGTGTTCCTGGGGGCACTTACCTGGGGAAATGACCATCATACGGGCTGAGGGTAGGAGAGCAACCCAGCACCCTCCACATACTCTCCAGTAGGTTGTGAGACCCCCCAAGGGCCGCAGCGCCTCCCAAACGGCCTTTGCTCCGCACCCCAGCCCCAGCACTGAGTACTGCACTGGCACACGGGAAACACTTGACCTCAACCACAGAAGCATCTGTGGCTTTCACAGCACTGGTCCCCCAACCCGTCCCCGTGCTCCCAACTCTCCTCCAGACCTTCCTGTAAAGCCCAGCTCCCCTTGTAAGCCTTCCTGCCCCAGGGAACATTTTGGATGAAACTAAACTCTCCAAGGAGTGATGAATCCAAATGCACTGATTTTCGGGGCCAGGGGGCTCCTAAGGAAAGTGGTCTCGGTGTGTCGACTGATTCTTGTCCAGGAGCCACCGACTCTGCGAGTCTCAAATCCACAGATGTGTGAGCTGCGAATACAACATTACGTGGAGGACACAGATCTCTCTCTTCAGCAGTTAAATATGAACATCTCTCAATCTGTGAAAACGCGATACTGCGTGAATGTGCAGCACCCATCACCTCGTGGGACGGTGAGTCAGGGTTGGTGGTCCAGCTCGGGGCCTGGCGGTAAGAGATCAGGATTTCTGAGTGGGAGGAAGAGCCCGAGAGAGTGCTGGCCAGGTCACCAACTTCGCCCAGGGAAAATTCCACTCCCTATCCGCACTGGCCATCTGTTAAGTTAAACATCTCTGCCTATTCAAAGAATAAATGGAAAGCACAACATTGTTATCAAAGCACCAGCAGCATCAAAGACAGCCAGTCGTTAGCAACACCTTGTGTGTTTGCTTTTCTCACACAGCTGGATCCTTGAGACATTCTGGAGCATAGACAGCGATTTTTACCCTCCTCACGGACCACCGAGGAAAGGTCTTTGCATTCATTAGGGTGCCTTTGCGACAGTGGTCCTCAACTGGGAGCCAATTGTCACCCCCTCCAAATATGGGGCAATGTGTCTGGAGACACGATGTCACAACTGGGGGGGCGGGAGTGCCACTGGCGTCTGATGGGTAGAGGTCAGGGTTGCTGCCACGCATCCTGTAATGCACACAGCAGCCCTTCCACAACGAAGAATTATCCTGTCCCACACATCCAGAGAGTCAAGGCTGAGGAACCCTGGGTTACAAGGAATGGAGAACCCTGACTCAGACGGTCTTAAACAATAAATACATTTCTAATCTCACATAATCAGCTATCATTGGTGAGGTGGACCCAGGATTTGTCAGTCAGTGGCTCTGCTTTTCAAGTACCGGTCTAGCTGCCCCCAAGGTCCCGAGATGCCTATAGAATTTGTTCGGGTCACATCCTGACATGAGAGCTTCACAAGGAAGGAGAGGTCATTTCTGCTTTGGCAGCAGAACCTCTACAGCAGAACTTCCCTTCCTTCTACTGGCCAAAGCCAGGCCACATGCCCAGCCCTACACAAGTCACTGGCCAGGGGAGTAAGACCACGGGGTGGGGGGTGGGGGGGAGTGTATGAGGTCATCCTCCCGAGCACATGGCTGCTTGGAGAATGCTGGGGTCTCCAGGAAGTAGGAAGGGAGGAGGTGGGTGCCGGGTGGACGAACGACCTTGTCTGCTCCATCTTCTAAACCCTGGACTAATATTCGGTCCGTTGCAACTAGCGCTTCTCAAAGATTAATGTACGCACCAACCACACAGGGCGTCTTGTTGAAAAATGCTGGTTCAGGGACTTCCCTGGTGGTGCAGTGGTTAAGAATCCGCCTGCCAATGCAAGGGACACGGGTTCGAACCCTGGTCCGGGAAGATCCCACATGCCGCAGAGCAACTAAGCCCGTGTGCCACAACTACTGATCCTGCACTCTAGAGCCCGCGAGCCACAACTACTGAGCCCATGTGCCCCAAGTACTGAAGCCTGCGCGCCTAGAGCCCGTGCTCCACAACGAGAGAAGCCCCCACTCGCACAGCAAAGAAGATTCAACATAACAAAAAATAATTAAATAAATAAAATTTTAAAAATAAATAAAATTCTCACTGTGATAGTGGAACTGTCTTTCTAAAAAATAAAAAAAAAAGAAAGAAAAAGAAAAATGCAGGTTCAGATGCAGCAGGTCTGGAGTGGACCTGAGACGCTGCATTTCTAACGAGTTCCTGGAAGATGTTGACGCTCCCAGCCTGTGGATCGCACTTTGAGTAGCAAGGCATTACGTGATGCCACTTGTTCTTTTCATGTTATTTTATATTTCATTGTGGTAAAATACACGTAGCGTAAAATTTACCACATTAACCAGTTTTAAGTGTACAGTAGTGTTAAGTATATTCACGATATTGTGTGACTGATCTCCAGAAGTCTCTCATCTTGCAAAACG